TTTTTTCAATGCCTATTTTATTTCTTCATTTTACTTTGGGCTTTGTTACTTTATTGTTGAACTGTACATGGGGTGAGACCTACTAGCCTTGGTATCACAGCCATCATTTACATGTATCAGGCAGGCAGGCACCTTAATACGTCAGTGGAAGTGACCATACAGTTCTATGAAGCAAATACACAAATTCCAAGGACTAGAATCACTTGTTGTGGGACCTGTCAGTAAAACTCGAAAGAATCGCAAGGGAAGCAGTGCAGTAGGATCATTTACAGGCCATGATGCGAACTGCCCTGGCTTACACATCGTTCGGTCATTCTCATGTACCCTCAAGTTGGTCCAATTCTGTCCATCCAATGAGCCCTGAAACAGTTTGCAAAAAAATATTAATTCTTCTTCCCCCTGGCTATTTAAGACCACAAAGACATTTTTCATGCTTTAAACTAACCTGAAGAGTCCATGACCTTATGAATGCAGTTGAACCATCCTGCCTCAAGGTATAATAATTGCACATAAGCTGTAACAAAGCAATTAAATTTATGTTTTTGGCGAGAGCTTGTTTATAGATTATTGCACGTAAAATAAGTTCAAAAGTAAGTTGACGAGCACATGCAAACACGTAGACATGCATAGTTACCCCTATGGCCCTATAGGAAAAGTGTCAGGTGTGTCACTAGCACAACAGTTTGTGATGTACATGATAGGCAAACACGCATTATCTGAAACACCTCTTTTTATAAGAGGGATGAACAACAAGCTTAGAGAAAAATAATGCTTTTCCAGAACTTATACCAAGCTTGTCAATGCAGGAAACTTGTGAAAATTTGAACCTTCTACAATATAGACATCTTTTAAAAGTATTGCACTTTGATATTATATGTATACCACCACTCCAGAAAGCTTATAGTGAGTTTGATATAAATTAAATAGACTACTAGGCTTTGCCATTGCTTTATGGACCAGCTGGTTACTATATTGGTGCATGATGACAGAAAGAGCTCAGCAGCCCTCCAGAAAGACTAAAAGTTTAAAACCTAGTCCAGAGAATGAACGTAATTTTCTTTTTCAGACTACTAATGTTGTGGCATATTGTCTAGCAGTTAGGGGCATTCGACTGCCACCTTATTGTACGATGAAGTTTCCTTTATACTTTTCTACGAGTCTGTCTTCTTTGGGAATGCCATTTCTGAAGCTGCTCTCCTTAAACTATATTAAGAAAAGGGTATATTCTCTGCTAGAATCCCCTTGAAATTGAACTAATACCCTTTTTTATGTGGTAAAGTTGAACTAATACCTGAAGATGCACATTTAGAGTTCCCATTCTTTCTTACCACTCGAATTGGGTACTTGCTATGTGATACAAGAAATACCCAAGATCTGATCCACCATAGGGTATGGATAAAGCAAATCAGAAACTGTCCAACTTACAAGAGAGAGTTCCCTTAGCAGATCTTCAAACCAACCTTACTACCTACTGAGACATGAAGGCTTCATAACCTTACATATGAATAAAATAATCCACATCAAAGGTTAAGAAGTTAAAGTTCAGAAATAACACCTGATGATCTTGTCCAACGTCAACCATCCACCAGGAACAATTCCTCCCATCCTCGACACGGGGGCCAGCAAAAGAAGTTCCCTAAAGTGCAACGAAACAGATAAAATTGGTCAAAAGAAGCTAAAAATTGCTAATGACATTACAAGAAGTATATTTCCAGCATACCTGGTATGTCCTTGAGACAAAAGCCTTGGGATCAGTGAACCTCGAAGCTGGGCTACTGGCTGTCACAGTTATTTTCTGTTACAGACATGGAACAGAAGATTAGTTACTTTGTAATATTTTTAATGATATACTAAAAATGAAGAACAAAAGGCAGTTCAGAAGTTTACCTTGGACAATACAGGATTGACCCACTGATGAATTCCATAAGATGTACCCGCAAAGTAGATTACCCCATTCTTATCTCCATCACATATGTATTGAAGCTCTTTGAAACTAGATTGCCGGTGCTGAAATCTTGCACTAAAACATTTTAGAGGTATGAGAAGTTGTCATATTTGATAAAAGATTAAAGATAAACATAGATGAAATTTTCATACAAACAACTTTTCTATTCCGAACCCTTCGATGTGCAGCAATCATTAATTAAATCCAACTCATTTGTATTCATTCATCAGTTTCATTGGATCAACAAAATATACAATATAATTAATAATCCCACGTACACAAAATAAGTCTAGATATCACTCGACGACATGAAGTACAATAAGAAGGTAACAAGTAAAAACTCCCCCCTCTTGCATCATCCATTTTCTCAAAAATTGAGATCATCCATAAAGAAAGCCTAATGCCATGTTATGAGGTGTTTGCTGCAGACTTGCTGTTTTGTGTGTTTGTGTGTGCACAATGATTGTAACTCATGCATGCGCTTTGAATGTTGATTCGGCCATGAAGCAAGCCTTATATTGCAGAAAATGATCCACTAAAATCAAATATGGAACAAGTCCCAAAATTATAATTTATGCTTACTTCATATTGTCTCCTTGTTGTGACATTCCTGAGTCATTATAGCTAATGGCCTCCTTCACCTATTACAGTTTAAATTCCAATATAAATGAGCAACTGAGCAAAGACGACTTGGCAAATCCATTATTTTCATATCCATAACGTACTTACTAATTTTCCAAATTCAGGAATCTGGACGATAAGATTGCTCTTTACCAGCTGCATTATCATTAAATGAAGTGGTTAGGTATATCAATCATTCATAACAAACTGGTTCACAAAGTTTCTTACAACCAACTAAATACCTTCGTAAGCAAGGACAGTGACATTAACGGGAAACGCACTAATGGAAGCAATGCTTCAATTGATTTAAGCCTATCTCCAAATAGGAGATCAGGTCTCGAGGATATCAAAAGCTCATCAACAGCTTCCCACCCATACAGCTCGTTGGTTAACATTCCCCAGGATAAGATGGCATCAAGAATCCGTTCTTCAGACGTTACAGTGAGATTTGGATGCTGTAGCATCATAGTCAAAATTAAAATTTGTAAAGGAATGCTGGTAAAACAATATACTGATGTAAATATGTTGCATACCAAAATAGTTCAAAATCATAGGACACAACTGGCTTCTGTTTTAAAACCAGTGTATATCTGAAATTACTTGTACCATATGAACCTGAATTATCTAGGTTGCATATAAGCCTAGAAAGTCCGCCAACTATAAAACCAGGAAATATTTTTTTTAACCTAGAATGCTTTGATATGGTACTTCTTCTTTGTTTTTTAGATGTCATAATGCAATCATTGCTAAACTTCCTCTGAAGAAATCAATTATGGGTGAAAATTGAAGTGCTTGAAGAATGAGAACTCACCTGAAGAATGCCACCTAAAGTTGCCTCATCTAAAAATACAAAATTGGAGCTGGCAGTTGTGCAATAATCAAAGTGCCTTGAAAACTTCCTCTCACACGTTTCTTTGAGGAGCTCACATGATGAAATTGGTGAAACCACCTGGAGAATGGGACATATTGAATCCTGCAAAATGTTTAAAACATTCATTTGCAAAAGCAGTAAACATTCTGCAAATCTGTGCGGCCTTGTTGTGTATAATACAAATAACTCAGTTGCATGAGCATCTTCCAATACGAGGACTCCAATCCTGCATATATATATAGACAAGAGTATCAATACTTTGATTCTTCATCAACTAAGTTCTGCTTTTCTTTTTGGAAGTCTGAGCAAAGCAAGGAAGCCGTCTACAGTCAAATCCCCAAGTCACTTTTCTGCTCATTGGCTTCTTATATAATGCATAGAAATAACAACATAACGTATAATTTCTAATAACAAACACTAGAAAATTATAAATAAAAAGAGGATGAGTGACTACCACAGAGAGGCACTCCAAAATGATTTTGCAGCACTCTTGGTGAAGAGGAACTACTCCAAACTGATCAGCCAACAGAAGAAGCGGGATTAATAAT